AAATGGAAACCCTGTAGCACCCTGATAATTGTGATAGGATCGCCTAGACGTACCACGAGCTGGAATCCCCCAACTCCCACAGTCCGGCGCCAGTACATTCATAGCATTGGGCATCTCTTGCATCACAACGAAGATGCAAAGCCTAGGGTCTGTATGGAAAGTTCCTTCAATGGCTCTATATATAATATATAAATATATATATATATATTAATATATATACACACGCAGTCTTCCTCCCAGGTACAGGAACCCAGATGGTGAAAGGAAGTCCATGGATGAAGAACGAATCTCGGTGGCAGAGGAGTCAATGTCAAAGGAAGCGCACTTGAAACCACATTTGTGCCTAAGATCAAATCAGGTTTAATATATCCCTTTGGAGTATGCATACAGTTCGATTTCACATGCCTATGCATTTCAAGTCTCCACCACTTGGTTGTGTTTGCTTTTCCGCTGAAAACCTCGAAGAAATCATAAGGTCCCTCACGAGGAAAATCCCGACACCACTGAAGTAGCAAGACCTGGGATCAAGAAGATCACAACCCTGAAATATTCAGAACACGCAAAGAAGAAGCATCGCACAGCTGCCATTGGTTTCTGATACCACATGTGCCACATGATTTCCCTTTGTGGCCTGGGTACGATTGCAACCAGGGTTTTTGGAGCACCAAGTTCCATCAAGTTAAATGCCGTGCTCGAGTCCAGGAAGGGACTTTGGCTCTCCATGGCCAGGTGACACGATAGTTATGCCGTTTGATCCCAGCTGCAAAAAAACGAAAAACAGCTCACAGGCTAGCAAAGGTTGTCCACAAACTGTCGGCAAGTCAGAGCTCAGGTGGCACCTGCAATTATAGCCCTGGCCATCCATGTTGTCATTCTTCAATTGCAGACCTGCCATGAGGTCAGAGTTTTAAACAAATCAGGAATCCAAAGGGGGAGGGAGGCTGGGGGTTGGTTTGAATTTGAACTGCATGATTGAGCAGAGCTCCGAATTTCTAGAATCCTAGAAACACATCTCACACTAATTCTTTTCCGATCTCAGGTGAGGTCTTCCTCTTCCTAGATTCCCTGCACAGGCAAGGTTCCCCAGCCGCACAGCGTTGGACACTCGATGAACTATTGCCCAAGCTCTGCAATGGATGCCATTTTGGCACCATACCCAAACCCTATAGTCCTTGATCACGAAGTGGACGAGTACGCCTGAAAAGCAAGGGGAAAGGTGAGTTTGCATGTGCATATTGCATATATGTTGCATTCGATATATAAGTTAACATCAGGGGCTGGTTGCTGGCAGATGTTCACATGTGGAAAAGTATGCCGCGTGATTTGCAAGCTAGCATGTGACTGACCAGGCCTCCTTCGCCAGCTTTCGAGCGTCTTCCTCTGACTTTCCATCAAGGCGAGCCTTCCTCAAAGCACAATGATAGGCCGAGGACTTGCGGGATTGCTTTTGCTTCTTCTCATCGGCGTTCCCTTTCTTGCCATCATTCTTCCTCTTAGGAGATGCCCCCTTGTTCTTCTTGCATCCTCCCTCCTCGACTTCGGCTGTGCTAGTAGTCGACTTCTTCTTCTTGGACACGGGCTCACTCACATTCTCTTCATCTTTTGACTGCTTTTGCTTCTTCCTGCTCTTTGTCTCCTTCTTCAACTTCCCTGCCTCACTGTCCTTTGTTTTCTCCTCCTCTTCTGTAGCAGGCTTCTTGGACTTCTTCTTTGGTTCACTCTTCTCTGTCTCCTTCACCTTGGCACTTCGCCCAGCATTCTTGCTCTTCTTGGACTTAGACTTCTTGCCCTTTTTTGCATTCTCCTCTTTTTCCTCCAGCTCCAAGACCGTTGTTTTCTTCCTGAGTCGTTTAGCAGCCTTTGGCTGGCTCTTTGGTGCCACTGGCTTCACATTCTCAGGCGACTCACACCTTGTTTTACCTTTCTGGTCATTAGCCTGTGGCTCCACCGTCTCCTCACTGGAACGTGCCTCAGCCATATCCTCCTGGGATTGGTTGGCCTCTTGTTCTAAAGCAGGCTTCCTGTCAGACTCTTGCGTCTCAACGACCGCGTCTTTGGGAACCTCTTGTGGCTGCTGTGGGATGCCAACTGCCACAACCTCTGGGCTCTTGGAATTGCAGTCAACGCTCCTGGACGTGTCATCCCCACCAGCCACCATTGAATCGACTTCCATACCCTTCTCGCCTGCACTTTCTCCTTTCTCTTGCCCGTGTGAAGGCTCAGCGGACACGGTCTCAGAGTCTGCAAGCTGGGCAATCTTGGGATGCATCGCCTGATCAGCAGCTTCATCTTCTGGAGTTGGGACAGTTTGGGTGTCAGGATTCTCCATTCCACTCTTCTCCTTCACATTCTTTGCCTCATGGTCCTTCAAGAACTCCGAGTTCATGTAGAGAGTCGTGGACAAGCATTGCTGCATGCTGGCAAACCGCTTTGGCTGGGGATGAACCGACTCTTTTGCTTGGTCCTCCAAGCACTTCTGTAAACTAGCTCCAGTAAAAACATGAACAACAAAGGCCAGAACATTCACCATAATTATGCATGTATACATACTTCTTAAATCCAACTGATTAAATTATGTCCCACAATCCCTCCTCCTCAATCACCGCTGTCACAGCAGCCGCTTCAGCAACATGCAAATCAGTGAGCTCCATGGGCTGTGTCTCAAGGTTGTCCAGGCCTTGCAAGGCAGGTCGTTTGACCCCCATGTACCCTACACAATGTTGCAAGAACTTGCTTCACACAATCCACGGTGTATACCTATCACATGCATGTGCAAGAATGGGGGTCATTAGCTAAGGACAATACATTGCGGAGCAGTCTTCTTGGGCGCGAAAGAAGAGGTGCGGATGGCTTGCTGTTCTCGAAGGGCATTGAGTTGGAATAGTTCTATCTCAAGAAGTCTAAGCTTCCTAAGTTTCTCCAGCTTGAGATGTTCCTCCTGCAACCGCTGGAGCATGCTGGACTTCTTGAAAGCATCAGAGGGAGCACATTCAAAGGCCTCCAATGCCTCCATGTCCACAGCCTGGCATGAACATGCCAAGCATGCATAGTACCCCTTTTCCTTCTGCACCAAAGCATGAGCAAACTTCAGCGCTTTGGGAGGGTTTGGCGGCGTGCAAGAAGGTGGCTCCAAGCCTTTCAGGGTTGTCTGTTCTTTTAAATGAGCATGCATGGTGCACTTGTTTATTCTTGATTCTTTTCTTCACTTCCCCAAATGGTCCAATCATGCGCCTCTCGGTGAAGGAGTTGCAACCACCGATGGTGAGCGGGTCGACTTGCTACCTGGGATTATATATAATGCATGGGATTTGTTTAGAAAGTTCATGGAAAACCATGGTACAGTTCAAAAACAGGTCCCGTATAAGATTGCCAACATCCACATACGAGGTGCTGGGTTTGATGACAAGCCCTTTGCTCGAAGCTCGGGATATAGGCATGCGTAGGTTTGGTTCTGGAGAACTGTCCCTGGCCTGCGCCGGTCCTTTCACAATTGGCCCATCAGAAGACGAAGCTTTCTCCTCAACACCTCCAGGCACACTGGCAGCATTTGGCACCGCTGCAGATGGTGTGGTTGCCAAGTCCTGGAGATGGAACAGTGGATGGCAGTGGGTTCAGGTATATAATATATACCTTTGTACTATAATGCTATGATCATGGAATTCCATGTACACACACACACATAGCATCAACTCTGAACTCCTTCTCATGGATAACAGGGTCTTCATCAACCTCTTCTTCCTCTCCACCCTCCTCCTCGAGATTGTCTTCCTCAGACTCGTGCTCCTCTTTGACCTCCACACCTGACCAATATTTACAATTTTTTGTTAGAGAGTGAGCACTAAGCTAGAAATTTGCACCCATGAGAAGAGACTTGTATATACATATGTGCAACAAACAAGCAGTTGTTGTCACAAGGATAGGGCCTTCCGGGATAGGAATTCCACCACTGACAAAAAGCGCTCTCATCGCCGCTTCACGCGGCACATGCGGTCTTCGGGCCGCTCTCCCAAACTGGGTCACCAACTGCCGTAAAGCCCACGCGTGAGCTTTGATCGTTGGACCTCATGGGAGATCGAAAAGGATCACATGAATCACATGTCATATGGATAGCCAGCCTCCCTCCAATAAACATGCGTGATTTTCAGGAGATTCAGGGTGCAAAACTAAAGGCTGGCTAGGCACCGCTGACCGGAGCTTTGGCACGAGCGCGTACTCTCCAGAAAAATTCATCCACATGCTTCTGGACATCGGTGACGGTTGGTCGCATACCTGAGGCAATCTTTGGATCCAGGCTCATTCGAGGTATATCTACCCAAGTTCTGAGGGCTTCAAAAATTTCAGTGCACTCAGTAGTTACAAATAAAACCCAAGCCAAGCTACCCAAGTGTTCAATCAAGGGTCCAAGAAGATCGGCATTATTCACCACATCCCTCCGAGTGAAATGCTCTTGTTTCGAGTCAGAGTAGCACACCAAGTGCCCTTTTTGGGCACCCGCAACCAAATAGTCTAGCTTTTCCCATGCTGCTGCCACGGGTGACCCCATTGGAAGCGGAGAGGCGGCAATCCAGCTGGATAGATCAAGGTAATGGCTACCATAGAAAGTTGTTCAGCATGTTCCGACCGGTGCTTCCTTTGCAAAGAATCCCACACCCAATCAAGCCAAGCCGGGAAGACCTGCGCGTCTTCCATTGACCAGGTCAAACATGGCGCTACAGCGCACCTGGAACCTGACCTGCGCACACCCTGACATACATGAGGGCCAGCTCCAAGCCACACGCATGCATCAAAAAGTGCTCGATTTCCAATTTCTGCTCGAAGCAGAAAAAAAACATGCGTTTTGAGGTGTAACCCAATTCATGCTACAAATTAGCTATGTACTTAAATTTCTGCTACGTTTGAAGGTGCTGGCTATATACTTTCCTATCGGTTGTCAACTGTTTGCATTACTTGATCGTTGAATCCTCTGGGTGGGTGGCAGATCGGGGCACCCCACCTGTGACAAGCGCATCACCTCCATCTCATCCTTGCAGTGTCGACACGTGAAGGGATGCATTCGTAGTGTTTGGGGTTCCAAAGTGAACATCCTTTCGTTGGCGCTGAATCGGCACATAGGGGGTGAATCGTGAAGGGTGCTGCAGCTCCGAGATCACATGTTGCGAAAGACATCGCGAGAGGATGCGTAAGGGATCGGACACTCTGAATCAAGGGCCCCGCCCCTACCCTAAAAAAACAACCAGCTGCCAGGGGCTGTCAGGGGGGCGGCTGAATGAAAGTATTCCGATCGAATGCACTGAAACAATTTAGACCATTTAATTTGAAACCTTCATTATGCCTGTCCTCCTTGCTCTGTATCCCCATGTACGCTCGAAACATGCACAGAATAGTCCAGCAAGGACATATTGCAAAATTAGTTGAGCTCTGAAATTGAATAGGATCACCAACAATGTCAACCTACCATGCTTTTAACCCCACCCCATGTGGCTATGGGAAACATAGGGGCCGCCATCCAGTCACCACCTGCAACTTTCGGGACTGAACATAGACCCAACGCCCACTTACTTGATAGTCCATCTTCCCGGTCTTCCCAACTTGCAAGATCTGCCATTTCCCCATATGCATGGTTTCAAACCATGGCTTCAACGATTCTCCGGTCGTACCATGCCTTTCCTCCCTCCGCGTACCGACTCCCGACTCCCCGTCGTCTCACGCCCGGCCTCGGCATCCCGCTGCTTGGGGTCTCGGAAGTTCCGGAACACGGCCACCTGCGAGCGGCCGGAGGGACCGAGGTCTCCCGTAAGGAAAAACGTCGGTGGAAGGGTCAGACGATCAGACCCAAGTCATGACGAGTCATGTGTATGTATACATATATATATATATGTATTATATATGTGTATATATATATTTGATTATAATTGCAATATGTAATATATATATATATGTTGTGTTTAAGCCAAAACAAACAACTAACGCCCCTGGAAGTTTCGACGCCACCGCTAGAGTCGACCAACATCACATGTCCGAACGACGCGCTGAAGTTTCACTGTCGTCACAGAAAAAAAAAGCGAAGACTGTCACGTCATCGCAGTGGTCATCGTGCGACGTGCGCGGCGTCGCCGCAACGGGTCGCCCCACCATCTTCTCTCCGAAGTGCCGGCTGAGAAAGTCTCGAGAGAGATGGCAGGTCTCAGGTGACCTCGGACGAGAGTCGTCCCCCCAGTGGACCTGGGGGAGGAAGGACTGGGACGGAAAACGATTCAAGAGGCAAATGATCATTTGGGAGGCTAGTGATCCATTCAAGATCTGGTGATGATTCATTTGGTGAAAGGCTTCATATAACTCGGAGTTTATCAGTTCTTCCGTCCTTTGTGGCAATGGATTTGTTTTGCACACAATAGGACCACATGATATTAAACTATGATTTGCATGTTGCAAAAGAAAAGCATGCTGTTCATCTGTAGGCTCATGCAAAAGCAGCAAGCAAACCACATGCAGTCGACAGGTCACTAATCAAATATCGGCAAAAGTAAATCGAGTGAACGGAACACTGGTCTCCCTACTTACTCCTTCAATGACACTTGCCTTCCACAAAACTCAGCCAAACGCAGTGGAGACCGGAAGAACCGAGTCTCAAAACGAGTTGTTGTCCTGTAACGTTTTGGGTCTATATAAACAGCGAGGATTTGTCCAAGCAGCACTTGAACTGCTTCCAACTGCTTGGTGCTTGGTCCGCTTGGCCACATATCGAAATGGCTCGGGTCCTGGCACCAAGTAGGGATCTAAGCCCTCGATGATCAAGGGCTGCTTGGGGCGGATGAAGCGCCGCCTGGCGGAAGCGCCCTCGCTCGCTCTCTCCGTGCATCGCTTCGGGACCCGAGGTGAGACACTTTGCTTATACACCAAAGGCACACATGTTGGATGATTTCTTCAGTTCCAATGATTTTCTGAGTATTTTCGTTTGTCCACATGTTTGGCGCTTCTGTTTTGTCCAACGAGACGTCTTCAACTCCAAAACATCTTCTTTCAGAAGTGGTACTGGTGGATAGATGAAACTTATTTTTGGGGATCATTGGGGGATCAACATCCTTGCGGTTTCGCTTCTCCATCTTGACCTAGGGAGTGGGGCCAAAAGGGGTGGTGATTGGTCCAAGAGAGAAGGCTTTGCTTGCTTCGCTTCCTTCCAAGAGGGAATGGATTTCAACCTGGTCCACGCGACTGAGGGTTGTGGGTGCAAAACCTTAGAGATAATTTCAAAGACGCCCTGGCAAGGTTCAACAGCCAGCACCTTGAATCCCTATAGTTGCTAAACATGCTAGCATGCCGTATCATCCATATAGGTAGACGATTGCCTGTCATTTGGCAGCAAGTTACTTCAAAGTGCGCCAGGCCACTGGGCCACCTCTCTCTCTCTCTCTCTCTTCCAATATTCTACATACTGCAACAAAAATGGAAGTGAAAAACAGTCGCACTATGTTGAACTGATATTTTGTTTCTTATATCATCTTACATCACGATGACGTGAGGAGATACTGCGGTTTTTGCAATCGAAGAACTTTGTACATTGACTCTGCTCAGCTGATGAGCCGAGTCGGTGATTCTTGGCGCCGCAGTAAGTCCGAGGGCATGGCGGAACGAAGGTGTGGTGTGTTTTTGGTAGCTCCCCATGTTATTATTAATACATACTCATTAATACTAACTATTGAATTTGCTTGGGTTATTATTCCGGGACGTTTGTTGGTTTGCTGTTTGTTCTGTCAGTGACGGTCAGTGATACTGTCAGTGACACTCAATGTTCAAACGTCTTCCACCGAAGCAATGGGAGTGGAGCCTCTTTGTTTTCTTTGTTATTGTTTTTTTAAATAAGGCATGGCATGGGGGGGTAAAGTAGGTAGTAACTACTAATGGACCATTAGTTCCTAGTAGTTTAGTTTCTTATAGTTTCTTGGGCTTGGAATGCCAAGGTTTGGTTCCTAGACTCTAGACTTTTAGGGACACGACCGAGTCAGCCTTCGGACCGACACTCCGACACGTCCCGGGTCGTTTGGTCGTGAGAAGCGGCGCACCGACACTCCGCCAAGCTCAAGGAGCTGAAGTGACGTCGTGGAAGCTGCCAAGACCTCGAACGGCAGCACCACGCCGCGGCCCCGGCGAACCGTCGGGCCCGGGTGATGCCCGGTGTGCTCTCCGGCCCTCGAAGCTCCATGGTGCTCCATGGATGTGAAAAGGTCTGTGCAAAACGTTGCTACTGGGGATGGACCCAGGCAGCCAGGCTGACAAAATGACATACCGCACCATGGTTGGGTCTGTGCTAGCAGGCTGGGCAAAAGTAAAACGAATCTATTATAATCTATTATATAATACAAGTCCTGACTGTAAACAACAAGCAATTGTTCTAAGATTCTATAGTGCGAAGTAGTCTTCCAGCAGTAAACCGCTAGTTCTCTTTGAACCTCTGCCGCCTTGCCTTCTCCTCACCTCACTCAGTTAGTCACGGTCGCCGTTTGCTCTTATGGAGATGCAAACACCACGTGCCTTTGTCTCCAGATGGGATTCCAAAAAGGCCCCGAATGGTAGGCCCATTGTGAGCACACGTAGGACAAGTAGGCCCTCCAAGGCTCGCTAGATAGAAATGTGTGGGCCCTCAAGGTTCTATTCTATTCTAGCCCATCGATCCAAGTATACGCACAAACCACAAGGGTTGACCTTCTATGTTCCTTGTAGCTCTTAGTACTTTTGCAAGCTCGTAGATCCTTCGTCTGTGAGCTCCCCCCTTATTTGAGCTCCTGACGGGTCCTCTCCCACCAGCTCGGGCTTGCTCGTCTCCGAGGCTGCCGGTAGGAACCTCCATCCAACGCCCATGCCAGGCGAGTCATCGGTGAGTCAGGCGAGTCGGTGTGGGAGCTTCCTGAAATCTACATTTTACATCAAGCATGTGTATATAACTGGGCACCAGTCTTCCAGTCCCCCATTCTAATATGATATAATCTATAATAAATACTCTGATATAATCTGCATATATAGATGGGGGGGGGGGCAGTTCAGTCTAAGGAAGAGCTCCGGACGGTCTTTCGGACGTCTCTCAACGGCCGCGGCGATGCAGTCCCACCTCATGAGCTCTGGCCGCTTCTCCTGGAGAATCTCCAGAAACGCACGGGCCTCAAGACGCTCGGGACCGGGGCGGGGTTGGCTTTCGCACGGGTTGGCTCATCGGAATGCCACCGAATCAGGTCGTTTCACGCCTTGGAACAGATCTTCTTTTGGATGCAAAACGACCTATGATGGTCTTGCAGCCTTGCAGCTTATGTGTGTCTCATTGAGTGAATGTCCAGGATTTCAGGAGACTTGCAGAGAGAGAGAGAGAGAGAGCTTGCTGGACGGGAACTGTCCATGTGGTGTTTGGGGGTTGGCGTGAATCAAACTTCCTACAGCCTGCGAGTGAAGTTCGAAGGATGCCACTTTGCTGCGCAGAAGCATGCAGCTGGCGACCAGCTAGTGGGCCCTTTAAGTCAAACGTGGAATGTGACCAGCGCATACCAGCGCCACTTAGGCTGCCACAAAAGCCGGGTCGCTCTTTTTCATCTCCGGGAAAACCTCGCAAGAGCTGCAAAACTCCAGTTGCATGGAAAATTCCTGCAAATGCTCACAGAAAATGGTGTCGTCTTCCAGGTCATGATTCGCATGATTAGCAGCATGAAGCAGATTGGAGCAAACCAAGCAGCAACCAATTTAGGCACTGGATGGCACTGGCAAAATGCTCCACTGGCACTGGCACGTCTCAAGATGGAGGTGCCACACGTCATCTTCCTGTTTTCAATTTGTCCAGGAAGCACTGAGTGCTTCGCTTCAAGAGCACAGGGCCGCCGGGCCGCAGTTTCCACGCTGAGGCCGCGACAAAGTCCAGCGTCTCCGCTGGAAAAATGTTCCGCGTGCAAGCCACCGTCACATCCTGGCGGGTTTGACCCCCGTTGGAACCCTGGAAGAAGGAACATACTAACCCATTGGTGGGGGGCCTTCCTTATCAAAATACAATACAAACCCACATATGGAGCTGTTGCGCCAATGCCAAGTGCAGCACACTCCCTGTGGCCCTGAAACGCTAGTGAAGTCCTTCTTCAAGTCCTTCCTTCCTATCCTTCCTATCCTTCCTATCCCACCCTAGGTTTCGCTAGGAGTTGATGTCCCAACCTCTTTGGCCACACCAAAATCCTCCCGGGTCGAATTCGAGCGACCTGAACATCCAGTCGAGTCGATCAAAACGTCGACGCCCCGCCCTAGGGGCCGCGACCACCTGTTCTGGGCCGACTGCTGGTCCTCCCCACCTCCCCGGCCCCCCCGGGTCGCGTCGAAAACGGAAGACACCGCGGCCTCGGAGCTCTCCGGCAAGTTGAGCGTGGCATGCCACCAGCCCGAAGGCACGAAGATCTGCTTCGATGGAAAAAAAACATCTCACAACGCCACGCGCGGTCAGGACGTTTCGTAGCAACCGTGCCCAAGTCAGTGCTCTTTGTGGGCAGGCTGCAGTGCGGAAATGGTGGAAGATGTACGAAAGAAACGCGTTATAAAGAGCACCAAATCACGAGTGGTGGTCAAGATGCTTTCTGCAGGGAGGACTGCCTTGACATGCCTTGACTGTTTGTTTTGGGGAGCGAGGGAGGAAGGTATTCAGGCGAGGTCATGACCAAGTTTGCGATGTCGGGAAATTCAGATCTCTGTAATGATTCAACAATGACTCGCCATATTATAGACTCTATAGACCATGACAGTCTCTGTTGGATGCTTGTCATGCATCCTGCATACTATGACTATAGAAAAGTGCAAAAGCCATGGCAAGGGCTCATTGTCATGGGAAAGTTTCGAAGAATTCCATGATACGATCAATCTGGTCCACCAATTATTTGATACCAATTGCATGTGTCTTTGCATGGGGAGACCTCCCGGTTCAACCCGGAAGAAGGAGAACCAACCGCACCGCATCGGTGGGCTCCCTGTTAAAACACAGACCCCATTCGTCCAATGGTCAGACCTGCACTGTCTGGGCACATGTCGCAGTGATGGCCAAGCATGCTCAGCATCGGGCGGTATCTCCGGGGCGTTGTATGATGTCCACCTCAATCCCGGGGTCTTTCAAACAGGGGACCCTGATGGTTGACCGAACACGAACATGGATTAGCAGCTACATGGTCAATCTATACAATTTGAAGCTCCAGGTGTTGGACCGAATGGGGAAGACGTGACGGTTCCACCGAATGGTGTGACGGTCCCACCGTGTACTTCCCATCTTCTTTCGACGGATGGGACTCACCGGCTCATCCAACCATCAATAGCCATCACCTGCCCGGCCCCGGTCTGTTCCGGATCCTGCCGCCTCTCCGAAACTCCCCGCTCCAGCTCCTCCGCCCCGGCAAAAATCCGGCCAACATCGCTAGCTCCATGCTTTTCCATGAACGCCAGCTCCACCCCGCTCCAGCTCCACCTGGGTTCATGGGCCATTCCCAGTTCTTGGGCTCGTTCAGCTAAGCGTGGGTAGTGATCCAGCCACCAGTAGGCTGGTGGACCCCCATCCTGGCGGCTTTCCGGGAAAGTCCTTCCCTACAGTTCCAAACACTTCATTTTACCGGAGATGGTCATACAAAGACACTACTCAATGAGGACTAATGAGGTATAAAGGACCAGGTTTTACACGCTTTACTGGTCTTTGGACTTGTAGGGCTTCTTTTCTCGACCAGACTAATCAACTCGGAGCCCGGTCACTTGACCAAGATCACTGGAACTTCAGAGCCTGGTGCTGGTTTAGCCCTGTTCGAATCCCAGCGTGTATCGGCGTATCGGCTCTGAGATTTTTCACTTTCAAAGACTTCGCCGGCCATGTTGCGTTTCGGTCGATCCTCCCCCCCCAAACTCGAGCTCCTCGCCGTCGCCCACGAGATTGCCTCTTCGCACTGGGGTTCACCGACCGAAGGGGGACCCGAAGCTCCAAAAGAAGCTCCAAGGGACACCTTTCTGGAGTGCTCTCCTTCTTTGGCTTTAGCTTTCCGAGCTCGGCAGATGTCCTAACTGCCAGGGACTTGTCCGGTCAATCAAATCATCTAAGTGAAACCCAATCACTCTGCTGCACCAATCTTGACCAAATCAGATGGTGAAAATTGGTGACATATGTCATCGCAGCGATGGTCGTTCATCACTTTGCACCATTCGGTCAGTTGTGTCGCATCAAAGCCGGAGTGCAAACAAATCCTGTTGCGGAGGATTCCACGAGTGGCGGAGGCGTAGGCGGCGCATCCCGAAGCTGGATCAAAGTGGTTAACCCACGCTCGCTTTGACAGCTGCAGAATAAGTTGGACCTCTGCAAAAGTATGGCATGGTCATCATCTAATGGAGCAAGCAAGGAAGCAAGCAAGCAAGCAAATGAGCTGTGAAGCCAGCCTTGCAGTACTTGAGTGGCGTTTTTGGCATCTGCTTGAAGCGACAGCGATCTGTCTGCAAGTAGTGCCACACCACCAAGCGCCAGAAAGACCAACATCCCAACCCTCCAAAGGCCAATGGGTTCGTTCGATTCCGTTTGCTAAACAGCTTCACAAGCGCTGGAGCTCATCTTGCACAGCACCACTATCGCCACCCTCAGAGGCATTTCCCCAAGTCACCTCAACAAGCGATCAGGTCAACACCAGGTCACCTCACGATGCTTGATCATGAACCTCTACGCACAAGTTCTTTCACGAAGCATCATGAGTCATTCATTCATAACAAGTTCTACAAGTTCTGAACCATCATGAGTCATATATAACATTTCGGTCTTTACAAGTTCTGGTTATTGAACTTGTGTTTCATAAAAGATAGAGAGGAACCTGATGACGGTCAAAACCTGACACCCTGGGCAACCGACCATGGACCTGACTCTGCCACGCAGCGTAGGGTGTCTGACCGCGGCCCAAGAATTTCCACAGTTCTGGTTTGGTGCGCTAGTTTTGTGCCACATGTTTCTATTTTAACGAATGCGGAATGCTAAATCAAGCTAAACTTGATGGATACCATAACTATAACCACATGAAGGGGTATCACTCACTAATTGGCATCCCAAAAGAAAGCAAGAAAGACGTTCATTTGATGCATCGCGCAACTGCTGCAGCCGCTCTCTGTGTGTACCTTCGGCTGTTCTGAAAAACAGCCGGCTTGTGTTCATCTCCGCAGCCCACATCAGTCACAGAATGTGTCCAGTTTCCATCAGTTTCCGTTGATTTCAGGGGTCAACTTGTTTTTTGACAGGAACATGAATCTATCAACGCAAAATTGGATCCCTGCAAATCCCTGCGATGCATGCCTACACGACTAGTTTGGCGCCAAGCATTTTCACTCGTCACGGCTCCTGCTCTGCACAAAAAAACAATCGCTTGGACATTGAGCCAAGAGGTCCTTTTTTAGTGGGGGTATACGGTATATTATATTCGACTTAGAGGCTTCTACGACCTTCAGGCTCTTGGATATTTACTCTCCTCACGACTAATGAATCAGGGCACCGAGAAAAACATCCCAACATTATGGATGTCTTTGGGAATTTGAACCAAACGTTTTGAGGGGGGCTCCTTTTTGCGAATCCATCTTCTGCCAGGTGGCCACCTTTCCATCCGCAGTGGTGGCCGCAAACGCACTGCGCGAGGCGCCAATGCTCTGCACATGCCGGAAGTCTTGCACGCGACGCAGGTCCTTAAGGCAATAGACGAGCTTTTCTTGCTGGTTTTGGGCCCAAAAAGGCCCAAAAGATTATGCCATCATTCTGAGCAGATTGGTAGATAGAACCAAAAGTCAACGCTTGCAAATGGTAGCTTGTCCGTTGTTCTTCGAAAAACAGGCACGGTTGTCCTGCCCCTTGGTGCCTCTTGTTGGGCGACGCTGGGTCGGTCGGAGATCGTTTTCCTTATCACATCGGACAGTGAACCATCGATGGGTCGATGGGTCCTTTGGTTTCTAGAAAGAGCTCTAGCCACCCCGCACTGGAACCATTGGGAGCCAACAAAGCTGGTGCTGATGGATGGGTGGGTCTTGGCAGAGTAATCAAGAACTTGACAATGAATGTTGGCAATGCAAACAATTCTCGCACGACCCTGCAGAGTTTCGCCTGAACCCCCCATAGGTTCCGTGAAAGAAGGGTGTCCTTCAAGGTCCTTGACGGCTACAATTGCGTGTCCGTCTCAAAAGTAACCAAAATCATCTGCTTCATCTCCTTTGCAGTTCTACCATGATTTTGCCATGCAGTCAAGCCATTGAGGACGTCGTGGACTTTCAACAACCACACGAGCGGACACCAATCGCGAAGCGCGATCTATGGATCCTGGATGATCCTGGTGGGTCTTCATCGAAAATTATTCCCAGAATAACGTCTGTGGTTCCAAATTCTGCCGAGCATCAATGGAGTGGTGTCCCCATGACACGACGCGGCCATCAGAACGAAGTGCTGCAAAAGACTGACCTCCCGCTTGAATGTGAGTCACCTCCATGGGGGCAGGTCGCTGGATTCCACGAGTCTCAGCTTCTGGTCGATTTGACGTGTGGATGGTTTGAAAATGTTTGATATTTAAAAGACCTCAAAAGCCTCCAAGAAGTTGACCTGTTGCAACGCTTTACATCCGAAGGAAACTGGCAGCATCATACTCCGATGAAGCTTGATCAGTCAAATCATCACTTGATTGTCTGCCTACTTCCTTGTATGACCCACCAAGTTGGCCCTCTAGATGATTCGCTCAGTCCGCTCTGAAAATCCGTCAACCCTGAAAACCGGCTCGCCTGTGCAAGTTGGTGCTGGACTTTGGAGCTATCTCCACCAAACTCTTGAAGTCCCCAGGTGACCACCTGCCGCGACGCATGCGACTTCCGCTTCGCGGATGGCAAGATTGGATTCCGCCTTCACGGGTTTCACACCATGGTTTCGCACCAACAGACCAGACGCAGGAAGTCCAAAAGGTTCATCGAATTGGATCTTATAAGCAACTGCTCTGCCGCAAGGAGGTCTGACTCTGCGCAGCTATGCACCCAGTTCTTCGCATGCTTAAGCATGCATGGGTGTAGCAACCCGAAAGGAAAAGAAGTGCCGAGCTGCTCGTCCTTCTCTGTTTGCCTCCTGCTGTGCTTTCTTCAAAAACATTCCTGTGTATACTTCATCCATCTTCAAAGCATGGAGAGTACACCTCTGCGAACGCTTTCTTTTGAGCCGTTGACCTTTCCACCCCTTCCCCCTAAGGCCCGGCCCCTCCGCTCTGCGCACAGCTGCGCACCTCTCCGTCCGCTCTCAAGGCAGCGAAGGCCCGCGAGGTGGCCGCGATCTGGATGACGTTCCGCAGGCGTTCCTGCGGACCGAGGGGTCTGGGCGGAGCTCGGTGCACGGCGGCCGGTGCTGATGGTGAAAAACACCGGTGATGACCAACACACGCCCCGAACTGGCATCTTTCCTGAAAGGAACAGGGTCTCATTTTAGCATCGAGAGCCATCATTGAGCTGGACAAAAGAGAAAAGCATCATGGACTCAAGTGGACCAATGATGCGTTTGACTGATGATCCTGCAGAGATACAAACATGGTACAACATTGTAGAACAATGTGCAACCTGGGCAAAATAAGAAATGGACAATGGAATCTTTCTGATTTACTGTGTCTTAGTGCTCCCAAGATGAAGTTTGACCAACATGAACTACTGTATTCAGTCTGGAAGCCCAGTTCACTGGTCTGCTCGAAAAAAAACGTCAAGCGGGGCTCCATCACTGGCGACCACACAATGTGCTGCATCCCATCCGGACTCATCTTCCATGTCTTCGATCGGCGCCTGCGCCGCGGTCCTTCACGCAGCGACTGTCTCCTCCACTGGACGGATCGCCCCAGGTCACCACTGAGCCATCAGTTTTCAAAGCAGCGAAGGCCTCGAAATTGGCGGCAGAGATGTGCAATTGTGGAGAGCCCAAATGGGCCGGAATCCCCAGGAACCCTGCATTAGGTCGACTATATATTCCCCTGATATGCGGGCGATTCTGTATGCCAAAGGAAGGATTGGGGGCGGTGCTGGTGATCAATGACCAGGATGTGCTCAAGAGGCCTGACAGAAAACAGCATCCGTCAGATTACGAATGCCTAAGAAGAAAGCCAATACTCTTAGACCATACCAGGCTGTACTGTGGTCCCCTTCTTTGTAAACCAAACCAAGGTTTTCCAAGAGTATTCCACTAAGCAAGTAGCTTGTAAGCATGGTTGTCAGCCTGTCGACAGCAAGGCAACTCCACTGGTGGGGCCTACTACCAGTACATGTGTAAGTCATTGGACTTACTGGTGAAAGAAATCTTCCAACAACCCATCCATCCCATATTTGCTGGTTGGCATCTCTATGTTTCATTATGTTTCTGAGTTTTGATAGCCCCTAAACAACCATCACTTCCAAGAGCTCGCCCCATCTTCTTCGTTGGAGCTCTCTGTCAGCTGGGTGCGTTGCCAACTGTGCAGGATGGTCATCTGCGCTTCTGAATGGCATATGATGGCTTATGGGTCATCCAACAATTTAAAACACAACAATGTTTTCCTTAGATTGGGAACAGAAACGGCTATCGACATCTTGGTGGTATGAGTCTTCCCGTTTCGTTTGGGATAACCCCAGTTTTTACCGGGCACACATCTGTTTTGTTCTTTTTCTGGGAGGCCGAAAGCGTCAGGAAAGCATCGGTCTGTGGCGTGCATCTGTCCGGCTCCGATCAAGTCTGCACGAACGGAGACAAGAGTCTGTACAAACTGAGATGCAAGTCTGTACGAATTAAAAGGCACCATTTGCGCCTAGTTGTTAGGCACAGCTTAATTGGGCAGATCCTTAAATTGCGCTTGATTTAGAGCTGGCAGCAGATTGCTCATTCATAGTATCTGATTCAGGAACAGCAGACTCCTCTGCGATTGCATTCAAATCAGGGCCAGCAGGCTGCTCATCGACAGTGCTTGACTTGGGCTGGCAGTAGCGCTTGTATAATGGCCAGCAACAGCATGCTAGCAATGCAAGAAGGAAGCACAAATACCCGAAGGACTTCAGGATCGCGATAGCCCCATCTGCGGCCCCACCAAGCTCTTCTACACCTCCAGAACCCTCAGTCTTAGTGAGTAGCTGCATTTTGGTGACTTTCCAGAATTGGGTTCGGGAGTTAGTGTACTGTCCCGAGTGGGTGAACCAGTCCTTGTTTTCAAAGCGGCTACCAAAGGAGTCCATTCCATCAAACTCAAGCACCTGTTCTTGCACTCAAACTCCTTTCTGCTGTTACTGTAACCGCCACTGGTGTAGCTTGTTTTGCCCCAGGCAAAGCATACTCCGTTGCCATGCTGCTGCATCAAGAGCTCGCTCTCCCCACTGCCAACCACTGCCACTTCCCCGCCAGCGAGAGTTCGATTGCGATCATAAAAGCAGCGATCCGTAGAGCCGAACAGGGAGTCGTATGACATACAACTCTCTACAACGACCACACTTTGGATCTCTGGAACCTGCACAAGCTGAGGCAAGCCACAGCGTGTCGCATTCAGAGCCTCAGTGGAATTCAGGACCTCGGACAGGACGCGAGCTGTCCCCATCTTGAGCAGCATGGATGGACTGAGGTCCATGGCTACCGAATCCTTCCTGTCAGCTCAAACTCTTGTGCCAAATCCTTCGGACACATCTGTGGATTCGTTGCATGCGTGGTCCTTGCTTACATCCCCTTGATATCCCCGATAGAAGTGGGTTCATCTGGCTGAATGATTAACTCAAAAGGTTTGATGCTTTTTACTTCAACACTGATGACATGGATATATTTGCATGATTGGTATCCACCAATGTTCAGAACCATCCACGTTTAAAAAACCAGAACAATGTTGAGGCCCTTTTCCTTTCTTATATATCAATATACATGTGAAGAGAGAGTAAACGATAGTTTCTGCTAAGTTTGTCTTTCTGATTCTAGTACTAATATAGAACGTTCTTTCATCGGATGGTCCTGAGTCATACGTTTTTAGGTTTCGATAATCATGCATTTTCTTTCCAAGGAAAAGAAACAACGTGCCTGCCATGTGGATTGGATCTGTTTCACCTGGGTCAGCTGGTCGCGAACAGCCTGACCTCGGTGCATGCTGTTTAACAGCGGCGGAAGCATGAAGCGGCTTGGTTCTGCGGTCTGTTCATTCAGTTCCCAAACAAGCATGATCGTGTCAAGCATGATGTCATGACATTGCATGCGATTTCGTAAACATTTCAGTAGCCCAAAATAGGATAATAACAAATTGAAGATGCTAGTTCAAGTTCCAAAGGATTTTCACCGTGTAGGACGGATAGTTCCGTGATCATCCATGACAGTGATACTCCTTTCGGACTCATGGACAGTCGTTTGGGAATGAGGAAAAGACAAAAAGACTCAAACAATGGGAGAACATGGATAAAGCGCAATTCACACCCTGAACTCATGTCCAACATCATCCGGTCAGTGTAAATCTGTTTTATTATAATTTTATCTATATTCCGCTATATTCACTGCTGTGCATGGTTTCCTTGCCACACAAGAAAATGGGTGCTGAGATTTCGGTTTGACCACCGCCGATTCTCGACCCCGTCCGGAGAAAGGATCCAAACGACGGCTGGCCGTATCGTGGCGCAGATCGAGAATGGGCAGATCTGAATCCCAAAGAAAAGGACTATGATACAGAAAGTCCATGTCTCAATCCCTACTGTTTTGATCTGTTTTGCACCACCAAAGTAAAGGAAAGTCAGCTTCGGGTCTCTTTTTCAGACCATGATTCAAAATAGTATTGGACTTCCAGGGAATAGGCGTCAATGTACGTCAACTTCCAAACCAACCCCCGACCCCCAAGCGCCCAATGCCATTGGGCTCCCCTCCGAAAAAGGTCCCGAAATTCCATGCCCCCTCCGGAGGTGAATCGCCCCAAACGGCTGTCGCTGCCCAAGCGGCTGTCGCCGCCACAGTCCTCAGATTTGGACCTATAAAGGCCCCCACATGGTGCCACATGAGGGGTACTGCTGCATTGAATCCAGAAAAGCCACCCGAGGTGTCATACCGCGGATTGTGGGCGATCAAATCTATATTATATTACATATCCATCCTCAGCATTCTACCAGGCTGGAGGGAGTTTGGAGCAGCCGGGTTAGAGACTTCTTCACTTCTTCTTTGTCAATCAAAACGGTTGCCTAGAAGCACACGTCATAGGTATCATAGTTGCTTGTTGTGGCTCACTTTCTTCCGGTGCTCAAAGCCAAACAAACATCGGCTCAGTACAGCGTCATGTTCATGGCTGCTCCATATTCCATGCAGCTCAAGTATCTCCCTCAATGGAATGAACGAGTCGAACGAATTCGTTCCACCAGTTCATTTTGGCTCTTCCAATCCCCAACAAGGCAGCAGCCCCTTGTGTGATTCCATTGGGATTCCCCAAAAAAGCAACACTTAAAAAAAAAGGCCCCGCGCGGTTCCCTTCTGTCATGGTGCTGCGGGGCCCCAGGTGACCACGCGACCATCCAGCAAAATGGCCGCAAAGGAGCGGAAAGAGGCGGCCTGCGAAAGGAGACGTCCGACGGCCGACGTCTCGCAGGAAGTCTTCAGAGTCGCGTTGCCGGCGCCCTCGACCTCGCCGGACCACCCATCGAGACCTGAACTGGGAATTCCAGCAGCCTCAACAGAAAAGACCCTAAAAAAGATGCAACTTCTCCAACCCCAATCTCCCAAAACCCACTCTTCTTCTGTCCAGGTCACCAACTCCGCCACGTCTTGAAGCACGGACGGCCTGGCGAGGTTTTCGCAGGGTAGAAAGGTTGTGCTTCAAAGTCTTTGCAGCCTGTAGTGTTCACGTTGCAATTAGGGATCAATTATTAATTAGGGTGTTCTTATGGTTTAATTGGAATATGATGGAATACGATAATTTACGTTAATCATTGTTACATTATGTTTACTGACCTGCAATATCAATATCACAAATCCTGCCATAGCTTCCACCTCTTCCACCACGCATCCTCCCGCTGGAAAACACCAACCACCTTGCGCCGCTGGTCGCTCCGAAACCCGTTCAGAACGCCCCGCACCACACCGCGCTCAACACCGCGCTCAACACCACCGGCCGACCGGCCTGGCGCCGTAGTCTTCGCTTCCCCAGGACACCACCGAGCCATCGCGGCGCCGGGCGGCGAAGGCCTGCCGCGTCGCTTGGATCGCTTCCACGTCGTAGAGCTGCGCGCGCACCGCGCTGCTGTCACCTATAGACGGTGAGGGACGGTGAGGGAAGGTGAGGATGGTAGACGGAAAGGGGAGGGTATACGGAAGAACACTCTGTCTTTTGATGTGGCTTTCTCTTACTTCACTCTGTGGGCAACATAACTTTGTCCTACAATGTCTTACAGCATATCTTTGAACGGTTTTGTTGTTTTGCTGGTAAGACACACACATACACAAACCATGTTGGCTCCAAACTTCCGGGCCGCACCGCTTGATTGGCTCTTCGTGTCAAGGCGCCGCCGGCAAATGAAGACCCCCAGGTCACCACAGTGCCATCTGCCAAGAGAGCTGCCTCGTTTGGACACCGTCCCGTTGGAGGCCAGAAATCACTGGCCACCCAACGATGACGATGCGATGATGATGCGATATGATGCCACAAAGAGTACATGTTGCGGGTCCCAGAACTTCAGCATGCCGTTATCTTTGGAAAATAAACGACACTTATTAATAATACATATATCCATGATTAAGATACTTTGGCTTTGATCAACTCTCATTGGAACACATGAGACTACACTAGGCGCCGCATGTGTTCTCCGAGGTGTCTTCCAATCGGTAGGCGCGGCATGTGTTTTCCGAGGTGGGATGCGTCTTTCAATTGGTTATGGATTTTGTGGCCCATGTCCACATCGGACATCGGCATCATGGGGAGGGCAAAAAAAATCAATAAAAGAAGATCTTAGCGCCACCTGTGCCTGACGCTATGACGTGCAAAGTGCAAGGTGGTGGTGTGATGCCCAAGCTTCTTCGCCTCCAAGATTGCATTCCAGTCGGTCCATTCTGTAAAAAAAAGCCGCATAAATTGATGATGCTTGGTTTAGTTTAGTAGGGACCAGGTTAACACATCTTGTGGAAATCCAAATCCCTACTGCTACTGTTGAAGAAACACATTTTTTGCACATGACCTTTTTGATGGTCCTACTCCAGACTGGTTCATGTGACATGGGCGTCAAACTCCAAACCATAAACTGTTGTGGGGCGACTGCACATGGCACACATCCACTTCGCTGCAGTCCAGATGCAAAGGCAGCATCACAGCTCTGGATACTCCGAACATTTCCTGGACCATGAACACCAGTGGCGCTCCACTCACCCTGTAGCCCCCCACCAACTTGAACCCAGGATGGGCCACCACTCTTGGTTGGTGACTTGGGACACACCCAACCCACAGCATGCGGACTGTGATTCAAATCCACTGACTCCCCCAACGAACTTGCGGAAGGTCCTCCGAAAACCAGATCCCCAGCTCCACACTCTTCCTTCTCTCTCTCTCTCTCTCTCTCGACCTCCGTGCGCATCATGCGAAATCAAACATTCCCTCCAAGCATCGTAGCCGGCTCTCCTCCACTCGACAGTCACCACCAGTAAGGCTATCGCCCCAGGCCACAACACGGCCATCTGCCAGCAGGGCAGCAAAGGAGGCAAAGGTGGACTGCAGCTGTCGCCTCAGGGGTTGGCCAGGACAAAGCAGCACTGGCAGAAGTCACAAGTGATTTGAGATAGATTTATGCGTGCTGCATCCCTACTATACCAATCGTTTAGGATCTGCCATATCCTCTTTGCTCTTATACTAATACGCCGCACCCATTTGATGCTGACAACCTTCTTGGTCATATCTTCTAAGATTGAACAATAGCAATCCATTGACCAGCAATGCCTGGTGCTCATAACACGGAACACTGCTGCAGTTCTGACAAACAATTTCATGCAGGTTGAATCATGACGCCACATCAATATGCTTGCGGTGCTACATGGGTGCAATTGCACTGCCAGCACGAAACTCACCGCACTCATAGACTAACTAAATGTTTTCAAGAATCTCTCCACTATCTGTTGTCTGTGCCGCGTGCAAGGTGTTGTCGGTGTCTTTGCGGCCAAGTCTCACATTCTGCAGCTGATCTTCTACCAACCTGCTGTAACCACCATAGCCTCAAATGAACTGCTCATCGATTAAGGTTCGCAGTTCGCAGCAAACATCTCTTTAGATGGATAGCGTGCCAAAAGATTTGGACGGTGTATTTCCTTTAGGTGCTCTCTGAGTTTCTACCCTGGTTTCTTGTTAAGGTATCAAAGTTTGGTTCACTCTAGAATTCCCTTCCTACGTTCTGGAACGGGCAACTGCGAATGAAAACAACGATCAGCAATCCCACTTGCAGTTGGACACCTTGTGCCGAAACACTAGCACCCAAAATACTGACGAGCCAACAAAAAAACTATATAAAGAAACACCTTCGACCTCCTTAGACTTAGATTTGCTGTGTAATTTTCACAAAAGATCTGATGCCCAAAAAATTTCTAGGACTCTAGATGTTTCTCGACTGCTAAATGATTCCTTCTGGCATCCCCCGCGAACCGCTCCTTCCACCTTCCACCTTCCGCCGCGGCGCCGGGATCGCCCCACGTGACGACGTCGCCCGCCGCCCGCAGCGCCGCGAAGGCGCGGTCCGTGGCGCGGAGCGCCAGCAGCGGGCCGCGCTGGAGCCGCAGGGCCACGTCGCCTGGCGTCGGTGCGTGGCGGTCGGGGTGCAGGAGGAAGATGGAACGCATGGTTCCATTGGTTTGTATTTTTGAGGGGGAAGGAAATCAGGTTGTCTAAATCTACCTGGCTGAGTTTTGGACTTACAACACATACAGTAGTATCCTAATGTGTGTATATATATACACTATATCCCAATGTATATTTAAAAAAACAATATTAAACAATAAAAGAATGTGTTGGCAAGGTTGCCCCTTACGAGTGCCAATGACATACAATTACAATTTACAATTATAAACTACTGTGTTTCAAAAAAGTAACAACTTCCTCTCATTGTAACATGTTTCTTAGGTGGCAATAATAAACCAGACCTTCTCCTGTACAATAATAAGTTTCTTTCTGAACAATTGCAGTAATACACTCCTGTGTAATAATAAACCTCTTTCCAGATTGAATTAGTTAGTTTTTGAATTATGTTCAATGTCGATCAATTAAAAGAAGCTGTCATAGTCTTAAGGTCTGAGGTTTTTTATTGCCAGTAGTTTGTCGTTACGACGAACAAGTTGTTACATTGTTTGCCACCAGTTTTTCACTGGGTGGGAGGTTTATTATTGCGATGTGAACATTATATTATGTATCTATGGTTTCAAAGACTCGAGGTCTTCAGAACAGCAAAGAAACGGACTGACCACGCTGGGTGCCCATCTTCAGCACTGGTGGTGTTTGGGATTTGGGATCATCTTTTCCGTGGAATGTAGCAAAGGTCTCCACAAAGCTCACGAAGCGAATGACTTGGGGACATTTGGAAAGTAGATAAGTTCATGCCATTGGTCAGCAGAATTCTTGAGACCCAAACAAGCAAAAGAAACTCATGTACCCGTATTGGTTGGCTTTGGTGGTGAATTGTCAAGGTCCTCTCGGGTTGGTGGTATTACAAAACCTAAAACAGCATGAGAGCTACGTACAGTATGTCTGGGCGACTCCTTTCCTGCATGTGCCCGCACTGCATTCATCCCTGACATAGGACTTGTACCAATGGCACAAATCTGTATCAAACTGTTGCTGTTGGTGTCTCTGCATTATGACAGCGCAATGTATGCTATCCCTCAGTCCACAATATTGAAAACACTCCCGCCTTTGTCAGTTGTGGTACGAGCTGTTCATTACTCGCTATTTCCTGGGCCATCTATC